CGTGGACTACCGTGGCCAAGCCTCCCTTCCCACTCCCTGCCTGCCACAGAAATTGATTAAAATAATATTTTTAATAAAACATGTGTCCATAGTTCATACTGGGGAAGTTCAGATGTGAAAATGAGTTCTTTAGAGCCAAAAAGAAATTGAAGAAAGTCCAACAGTCACAAAAGGGTGCTTGATGATCTCCACTGAGCCAAGGAATGGATTCTTGCAGCGCCAAGATCAAGCTGGTCCTTAGTCCTTGGGAAACTATAACTTCCTCCAAGGACTGGGACCCCAAGGCCAGGCTCTTCCCTGAAAGCCTCATGGGGTCCTTGTTGTTGCTAGTGTCTTGGCAAATTGACCAAAACTTAACCCCTTTGTGCAGTCTGGTACCCTTGCCCTTTGCAGAACTATAAGTTACCATCCCTTATTGGGGGGGACGGGGACATGCTCGACTTCATGTTTGTATATTAGCGTTGCAAGGCGAACCTTGGCTCAGGTTCTCCCTGTTCGGAAACCTCTGATTGGCAAAAGGTTGATGAGGCATTCCTCATGCCAGAGCCCCTCTTTTCAAACACAAAACATACCTTCTGTTTCGTGTCCGCTCTTGATTTGGGAGAAAGAGGGAGAGAGATAAAAGCTTCTCAGTGACCAATTTGAGCCTTTTTGCTTTGGCCGTGGAGCCCAGGCCGTGCTATTCGTTCTGATAAGGAGTTCTCGACGTCCTCAAAAGCCAAACTGATATCTCCAGGGTTGGATGGAGGAGTTTACTTCCTCCAGGAAAGAAACAGAAGAGTCTTTGTCCACAAAATGAATACTTGGAGTTACTTATCTTCGCTTGGATAAGAATTCACACTTCTTTATTTACTTGTTCTTAGCTGTCTGCTGATGGCTGACCACATGAATGAGAGACCTCGGAGTGGAGCCAACCTTCTGTGGAGCTTTTTGAGCAGAGGCCAGATGGCCATCTGCTGGGCGGGATCGGGTTGTGCCTCCCTGTCTGGCAGAAAGGGTTTAGACTGAATGGCCTTTGGGGGATCCGTTCCAACTCTAATATTCTGTGATTCGTAGAATCATAGAGCTGGAAGAGACCACATTGGCCATCTAGCTTGACCCCATTCTTCCATGCAGGAAAAGCACAATCAAAGACCCCCACCCCCACCCCCACCCCATCCAGCCTCTGTTTAAAAGCCTCTAAGGAAGCAGCCTCCATCAGACTCTGAGGCAGAGAGTTCCACTGCTGAACAGCTCTTCTTACAATGTATTGTCGAAGGCTTTCATGGCTGGAATCACTCAGTTCTTGTGGGTTTTTTTTGGGCTATATGGCCATGTTCTAGAGGCATTTCTCCTGACGTTTCGCCTGCATCTATGGCAAGCATCCTCAGAGGTTGCAGAGAAGTTGCAGTGCAGGGCGTCCCCCACCGCCATTCTTGCCTTAGGAGGGCTTCTTCTTCCCAGAAGCCCACTCTGTTGGCGGGAAGGTTCCCGCTGGCGGGTCAATGGGCCAATGGCCAACTGACCACACCCGCCACGGGAGTGGCCTGAGCTGGCCTCTCCCTCCTTTGTGGGTAGCCTTCATAAGGCTGCCCCAGGCTCCCCAGCAGGCACTGGGCCTGCAACAGCTGAGCCCACCCACCCCCCTTGTTGTGGCGTGGGGCATGGGCCCTGGATCTGGTTTGGTATCTCCCCTAGTGGAAAGGGGGGACGCCCGGTGGTCCCAGGGGTGCCGAGTTGCGTTTGCCCGGTATTGTGCCGGCGGCACCCTGGTGTGTGCAGGATTGGGCAGTATTGGGCTGCCCGATCGTGATCCAGGACCCATGCTTGGCTGCCAACCCTTGTTCCTGTTATCTATAAATGGGTTGTGGCCATTGTTCATCCCAACAACATGTGTGAGCATACTTCTTGGGTTGGCTGTGGGAGGTGTATCTCAGTTGCACACGCAAAAGGCATGGCCCAACTTACCGGGCCAAGAAGTTGCAGTGCAAGGCGTCCCCCACTGCCATTCTTCCCAGAAGCCCCCTCTGTTGGCGGGTCAATGGGCCAATGGCCAACTGTGGTGGCCCCCCAACTCTGGAACACTCTCCCCAAAGATCTACATTGGCAGCCTTCAGAAAGAACTTGAAGACCTGGCTGTTCCGGTGTGCCTTTCCCGAATAGGAAACCTCCATTACCAAGTCCCACAAGCACTTTATTAAAGCCAAGACTGCCACACACTGCACACTGCACTTGTCCATAAGCCTCATATTCCACCTGTCACATCAGCACTTTTAACTCCTGTACCCTTACTTTGGCCTGGCCCAGTTTTATTGTGTCTTAGTGTATTGTTCACTGCTTGTTGTTAGATTGCTTTAATTGTTTTAATTTGCCTAGGTTTTGTATTGTTGCATTGTTTGTTGAGGCCTTGGCCTATGTAAGCTGCATCGAGTCCTGCGGAAGATGCTAGTGGGGTACAAATAAAGTTTAATAATAATAATAAGAATAATAATAATAATAACTGACCACGCCCGCTGCGGGAGAGGCCTGAGCTGGCCTCTCCCTCCTTTGTGGGCAGCCTTCATAAGGCTGTCCCAGGCTCCCCAGCAGGCACTGAGCCTGCAACAGCTGATCCATCCCACCCACCCTGCAAGCGGTTTATGTTTTCATTGGCAGTTAATTTTGTTGGTGTTCACCTTGTCATGGTTACCTGTTAACAGTTACTTGTTTGTTTTATGCTCCTTGTCACAACTCCTTGTTGGTGTGGGGCATGGGCCCTGGATCTGGTTTGGTATCCCCCTAGCAGAAAGGGGGGACGCCCGGTGGTCCCAGGGGTGCCGAGTTGCGTTTGCCCGGTATTGTGCCGGCGGCACCCTGGCTTTTGCCCGGTATTGTGCCGGCGGCACCCTGGTGTGTGCGGGATCGGGCAGTATTGGGCTGCCCGATCGTGATCCAGGACCCATGCTTGGCTGCCAACCCTTGTTCCTGTTATCAATAAACAGAGGCGGCCCTAGGCGCCAGCTGCGCCCGTATCTTGGGAAGCCGGACTTGGCCACGGTAGTCCACGCTCTCGTCACATCCCGCATAGATTACTGCAATGCGCTCTACGTGGGGCTGCCCCTGAAGACTGCCCGGAAGCTTCAGATGGTACAGCGCTCGGCAGCCAGGTTGTTAACGGGAGCAGCACTCAGGGAGCATACCACCCCCCTGTTGAGCCAGCTCCACTGGTTGCCAATCTGCTACCGGGCACAATTCAAGGTGCTGGCTTTAGCCTATAAAGCCCTACACGGTTCCGGCCCCACTTACCTCTCCGAACGCATCTCCACCTATGAACCGGTGAGGACATTAAGATCGTCCGGGGAGGCCCTGCTCTCGGTCCCGCCGGCATCACAAGCGCGGTTGGCGGGGACGAGAGACAGGGCCTTCTCGGTGGTGGCCCCTCGGCTATGGAATGCCCTACCAGCGGACATCAGGCAGGCCCCTTCGTTGCTGGTGTTTCGGAGGAGGGTTAAGACGTGGCTCTTTGAGCAGGCGTTCGGATAGCTGTGCAATTGCAACTAAATCCAGGAAGACGGCATAACTGAACAAGGAACGGTAATGGAATGTGAGAACGGAATCTGATTTTATGTGAGGCGTTGATGTCTATATGTGTGTCGTTTGTGTATGTTTGTCTTTACATTGTTAGTGTGCACAATTTTTACTGTAAACCGCATTGAGTCGCCGGTCACGGCTGATAAATGCGGTATACAAATAGCGTAAATAAATAAATAAATAAATAGGTAATTTTCAACGCTAAGCAAATAGTATTTTGCCTCCCCCCCCCCCACGCCAACCAATCACTGATATATATTTTCTGTTCATCGTGGGAGTTCTGTGTGCCATATTTGGTTCAATTCCATCATTGGTGGAGTTCAGAATGCTCTTTGATTGTAGGTGAACTATACATCCCAGTAACTACAACTCGCATATGTCAAGGTCTATTTTCCCCCAAGAGCGCCTCAAGAGCACCCCTGGGCAAAATCAACTATACTGCAAATGCTTACTTTGCATAATGGGTTGAGCCGCCCCTGTCAATAAATGAGTTGTGGCCATTGTTCATCCCAACAACATGTGTGAGCGTACTTCTTGGGTTGGCTGTGGGAGGTGTATCGCACTTGCACACGCAACATCTGCATAAATTTGATACCGAACTCCAAAACTCCGGACAATCTCTCCCAGCAGTTTCATGTAAATGTTAAACAGCATGGTGGACAGAACTGAACCCTGAGGGACCCCACAGACCAGGGAGTTGAACAGGAGTCCCCCAGCTCCACCTTCTGGGATCGGCACTCCAGTAAGGATTGGATCCACTGTAGAAGAGTGCCCTCAAGCCCCATCCCAGAGAGACGGCCCAGATGGATACCATGGTTGATGGTATCAAACACAGCTGAGAGATCCAGGAGAACTAGTAGGGACCTATCTAGTTCCTCTTCATTGATCATCCACCAAGGCTGCCAATGCTATCTCTGTCCCATAGCCGGGCCTGAAACCAGACTGAGATGGATCCAGATAATCGCTTTCATCCAGGAACCCTTGGAGTTGTGAGGCCACCACCTCCAGTACTATCTGGAAGGCTGCCATTTGTTCTGTTCAGCCAGAATAGTAGGGTTTGAATCAAGATACAAGGTTTGCGGTTGGAATGTCTGACTTTAAAATGTCCTTCAACCTTTCCCCAACCTCAGAGCCACAACTCCCATTGGGTTGCAGCTCCCATTATCCCCAATCTGTATGCCGGATAATCGGAAATGATGGGAGTTGTCATTCAGTGGTATCCAGGGACCCAAATGTGGTAAAAACTAAAGAGCATTATATAAAAATATATGTATTTGATCCTCTGTATCCATGAAAACAATGATAAGGTTGATGAGGCCCATGATGAAAATGAGTTCTAAATGCACCCACAGGTTTTGTCGTTATTTGAGTTTTACTGTATTAGGCCCATTATTAATTTAAACATAGACACCACAAACAAACTATACCTTCTCTTCTCTTTTTTATTGCAGGTCTTGACAGGAAGAGGAAATCTTCAGGCAGCTGCAGCCAGCTTGGGTCTGTGGCCGCCCTGAAATATGCTGTGGTTGGACTATATCTGTTGGTCTTCCTGATCCTTGTCGGTGTTTTCATACTTGCAGGTAATATATCTGGGATATAGCCAAGGAATGGGATGGTGCTCAGGAGAAATTGGGGGTCCCTTTCTATCTTTTTCAGAGCCAAAACAAGCTACAAGGGAATGGGAGCAAAACAGTTGCATCTTACTTTCTCAGATGCGGAGAATGAGGCCTCTTTGATTTTTCTTAGATGCGGAGAAAGCTTTTGACAATTTAAACTGGGAATTTAGGCTTGCAGTAATAGGAGAAAACATGGGACAAAAGATTAAGACTTGGATAAACAATTTTAATATTCTACATTGTAATGTTTATGAGTTGCAGGTTTTCAATTGTGATTTGTATTGTGTTAGTGTTGAAAGTAAATAGCAATATAAAGAATGTGTTTGAGTCTCATTTGGCAGACAAAAGTAGAGAATAATAATAACAATAATAATAATAATAATAATAATCAACAATATGCAAAAGTTATAATAAACGAAAAATTAACTGACATTTGTAAAATAGAAAAAGGAAGAAGGCAAGGGAGGTGATGACGAGGCTTTTCAGGGCCCAAGGTTTACCCATGCCTGGAGGGAGGCAGAGAAGAAGGGAAAGAATTAGGCAGAAATTAGATTTGTCATTCTCCTCCTTCCCTGGTGATGATGCTCTCTTCAGCAATATTTTGTGATTGTGGTGTTAGCATTTCCATGAAAATGGTGAAATTCACACACATGCAAGAAATATTTTGGAAAACATGCAACCCTATGGATTGTCTGGTGCCTCCTTACTTACTTGCTTAGGTGATCCCTCGTTGTCCGAGTAAGATTATCCTCGAAGTGTGTTTTCCTGGTGGTGGTCCGTAGGTGACTGTGGAGCCCTATTCTTGATCTGTAGGTTCTCCTGAAGTGAGGACATTGGTTTCCAGGTGGAAGGCGATCACGGTCGGGGTTGGCTTGACGCACCTTCCTCTTGGTACATTTCTCTCTTTCGCCCTCCATTCGTGCCTCTTCAAATTCTACAGCACTGCTGGTCACAGCTGACCTCCAGCTGGAGCGCTCAAGGGCCAGGGCTTCCCAGTTCTCAGTGTCAATGCTAGAATTTTTAAGGTTGGGTTTTCCTGCCCACCAACATTCTATTTTCTGTTCTTGAGTTCGGAGTAGAGCAACTGCTTTGGGGGACGGTGGTCGGGCATTCGGACAACATGGCTGGTCCAGCAGAGTTGATGTCGGAGGACCATCGCTTCAGTGCTGGTGGTCTTTGCTTCTTCCAGCATGCTGACATTTGTCCATCTGTCTTCCCAAGAGATTTGCAGGATTTTCCGGAGGCAACGCTGATGGAATCATTCCAGGAGTTGCATGTAACGTCTGTAGATAGTTCATGTTTGGCACGCGTATAGCAGGGTTGGGAGGACAATGGCTTTATAAACAAGTCTCCCAACAGATGTCCCGGTCCTCAAACACTCTGTGCTTCATTCGGAAGAATGCTGCACTCGCAGAGCTCAGGCAGTGTTATATTTCAGTGTCAATGTTGACTTTTGTGGAGAGGTGGATGCCAAGGGAGCGGAAATGGTCCACATTCTTACAATTTGGCGTAAAGGCAAAGGTTTTCCCCTGACATTAAGTCCAGTTATGCCCGACTACAGGGTTTGGCGCTCCTCCATATCTAGGCCGAAGAGACAGTGTTGTCCCTAGACACCTCCAATGACTGCATGGGCAAAAACCCATAGCAATTTCAATCCATTTGAAGCCATGACTTTGGAACCTTCTTTTCAGTTTCTTCTGCCAACTCACCTGCTTTGTTATCAGGCTGTTAGGAATGGTGGGAGTTAAAGTCCAAAACACCTGGATGGTGGGTAGATGCACTTGTAGTCCAACACTGCCTCATTTCTTTAGGAGGGACAGTTAAATGTTGCCTTTGCTCACACCAGAGTTTTCCTGGCTCCCCCTTTATTTGCAATCTTTCCCCTTTATTTGGATCCATTTTGTCCCCCTCTCCCGCCTTGGCAAATGCCACCACCCAGAACGTTTTTGGGTGTAGCCCCAGGAAGACGAGCCTGCCATGCCAAAAGCTCCAATGAGTCATGTTTGGACCGAAGGAGGTGGTGTCGAGCCCAATCCTCCACATTATGAGCCGAGAGAGGGTTAGTGGGTGGCCGCGAATGGTTCCCCCGAGGGGGACTTTGGCTTCTGGCTCCGGGTTTGTGGGTTGGGAGGATGCCACCGTCCAAAAGGCTCCAGGGCCAGATGCTTTGGAACCATTGCCCCTGCGCTGAGAGGGAGGATGCATCTGCTACACTGTAGAACAGGCATGGGCACACTTGGTGTGATAATGAGTGCGATTACGACATCCCTCTGTCTATGTACACTGTTAATGCAGCATAGAATTGCATTGTCGCAGTACCAAAGAAGTTCCCTACTGGTAGTTTTCAGGGCCACAGACCAGTAGCACTCACTTCCATCATCTTGCCTTCCATGTACATTGGATAAACATCTGTTTGCATATAGACCAAGGATGCCATAGTCATCACGCCCACACTGCTCTGACCCACTGGAACAACGGGGGAAATATGTGAGGATGCTTTTTATTCTATTCATCCATTCTATGCATCTATTCTATTCATTATTCTATTTATTCTAGTCATCTGTCAAGTTTGCAGATGACACTAAATTGGGAGGGAGAGCCAATACTTCAGAAGACAGGAGCAGGATTCAAAACGATCTTGACAGATTGGAGAGATGGGCCAAAACTAACAAAATGAAGTTCAACAGGGACAAATGGAAGATACTCCACTTTGGCAGGAAAAACAAAATGCAAAGATACAGAATGGGGGACAATGCCTGGCTCGAGAGCAGGACGTGTGAAAAAGATCTTGGAGTCCTCGTGGACAACAAGTTAAACATGAGCCAACAATGTGATGTGGCAGCAAAAAAAAGCCAATGGGATTTTGGCCTGCATCAATAGGAGCATAGTGTCTAGAACTAGGGAAGTCATGCTATTACGCCTTGGTTAGACCACACCTGGAATACTGTGTCCAATTCTGGGCACCACAATTTAGGAGAGATATTGACAAGCTGGAATGTGTCCAGAGGAGGGCGACTAAAATGATCAAGGGTCTGGAGAACAAGCCCTATGAGGAGCGGCTTAAGGAGCTGAGCATGTTTAGCCTGAAGAAGAGAAGGCTGAGAGGAGATATGATAGCCATGTATAAATATGTGAGAGGAAGCCACAGGGAGGAGGAGGGAGCAAGCATGTTTTCTGCTTCCTTGGAGACTAGGACGCAGAACAATGGCTTCAAACTACAAGAGAGGAGCCGTTCAGCAGTGGAACTCTCTGCCCCGGAGTGTGGTGGAGGCTCCTTCTTTGGAAGCTTTTAAACAGAGGCTGGATGGCCATCTGTCAGGGGTGATTTGAATGCAATATTCCTGCTTCTTGGCAGAATGGGGTTGGACTGGATGGCCCATGAGGTCTCTTCCAACTCTTTGATTCTATGATTCTATTCTATTCTATTCTGTTGGCTTTTTTAAGCTGCTGCATCACACTGTTGGCTCGTGTTCTGTTTGTGGTCCACCAAGATTCCTAGATCCCTTTCTCAAGAACTCTTTTCAAACCAGGTGTCACCCATCCTATATCCATGTGCGTTTCATTTTTATTGCAGAAGTGGAGTACCATACATTTTATATATGACTATTATCCTGCATTCAAACTCACCATTCCATTTACCAAACAGCAGTTGCTGTGAGCGAAAAGTGTCTGTTCCTGTCAGCTGGACCTATGAGCATTGAGTTCTTGGCTGTAGTCCCTGCTATTTATTTATCATGTCATCAGCAACCATACCATTGTATTACAGTTCTAACAGAACAAAACAAACAAACAGATTAAAAAAAACACAGATTTTGCAAACTTGGTAGTTGATTAAATGTCCTTTGACCAGTATCTGGCTACTTGGAGTGCTCTGGTGTTGCTGCAAGAAGGTCCTCCATTGTGCATGTGGCAGGGCTCAGGTGCATTGCAGCAGGTGGTCAGTGGTTTGCTCTTCTCCACACTCGCATGTCGTGGCCCCATTTCTTGAGGTTGGCTCTCCATCTTGTGGTGCCAGAGCGCAGTCTGTTCAGCGCCTTCCAAGTCGCCCAGTCTTCTCTGTGCCCAGGGGGGAGTCTCTCATCTGGTATCACCCACGGATTGAGGTGCTGGGTTTGGGCCTGCCACTTTTGGACTCTTGCTTGCTGAGGTGTTCCAGCGAGTGCCTCTGTAGATCTAAGAAAACTATGTCTTGATTTAAGTCGTTGATGTGCTGGCTGATACCCAAACAAGGGATGAGCTGGAGATGTCTCAGCCTTGGTCCTTTCACTATTGGCTGCTACTTCCCGGCGGATGTCAGGTGGTGCAATACCGGCTAAGCAGTGTAATTTCTCCAGTGGTGTAGGGCGCAGACACCCTGTGATAATGCGGCATGTCTCATTAAGAGCCACATCCACTGTTTTAGCGTGGTGATATGTGTTCCACACTGGGCATGCGTACTCAGCAGCAGAGTAGCATAGCGCAAGGGCAGATGTCTTCACTGTGTCTGGTTGTGATCCCCAGGTTGTGCCAGTCAGCTTTTGTATGATGTTTGTTTCTAGCGCCCTGCTAGCCAGTGCCTACAGCCTGTGCACCAAAAATCAGCCAAAAAACTAGCTACAATTTCCACACACCCTTTTTTTGTTTCACTGATGTTTCCATTCTCAAGGGGGTTGTACTGTTCCATGCCATCCCAATGAACTGAATGATACGAAAATACGAGACCTGGGGTTCCAGGCTCAGTGATGAGTCCAGGATCACTTATTTTTATTTATTTGTTTACAGTATTTATATTCCGTCCTTCTCACCCCGCAGGGGACTCAGGTCAGATTAAAATGTACATATACATGGCAAACATTCAATGCCATAGACACAGAATATATATAGACAGACACACAGAGGCCATTTAACATTCCAGCTTCATGAGAATATTCTGGCTACCAGGGGAGCTGTCACTTCACCATCCATTTGAGACACTGATTGAGTAC